ATTCTACTGAGCTAATATGCACTTTCCACAGGCTCAGCCTGGGGCAGAGTCCTAATGAGGGTAATATTAGTCAAAGATCCACCTCAGCACCAGCCCGCCCACCCTCACACCCACCTGAGGGGTCGATGGATGGTGGGGAATGTCACCAAACACGTAGGCTGGTCCGTAGTCCAGGGGACCCCCCTGCTTTCTTCTAGAGTGGAGGCCCACCACCACTCCTGGACGAAGCTCACAGTCCGAGGGGCCATATTTCAATGCTGAGAGTTTGTGCTTCAGCAGAAGCCAAGCCAGCTTCGAATCCTGGAGCGTTTAATTACCAGCTAAATTACTGAGCTCCTCTAGGTCCATAAAAAGGGGAATAATTATAGTAACTGTCTCTGAGGATTAGATTAATGAGATAATGCAGGTTGATCACCGCCGATGGAGTGGGCACAAAGCAGACTCAGCCAATGACAGGCTTATCCCGCAGGAATATGGACCTTTGGAAGTCCCTGAAGCTTAACTTTCAGAAAGCTTAACTGTCTGAAGAGGTCCTAGCAGGCTGGCCCTGGGGTGGAAGTGGGAGCTGTAAGGGGAGAAACTCATGGAGACGAAAGAAGACCCTGCAGAAAGGTGGGAGGGACTGCAAAAATCAGCCACCACCCCTTGAGTTTCACCTTCCCCTTCATTCATTCATTCATTCGTTCATTCTTCATTCATTCATTCATTATCAAATATGACATGAGCTCTCTCCTACCTGTCAAGTGCTGAGAATGCAGCAATGAACACCACAGACTATGATTCCTGTCCAGTAACCCGCAATCTATTAATCCCTTTGAGGTTTTTGGACTTTTAAGAGCTGTGTCCTTATGCTCATGCTTGGGCTCCATTCCCAGGAACTGAATTGGTCTAGGTTGGGGAATGGGCCTTGATTTAAAAAATGAGGTCTTCACAACCACCAGATGGTGAACCAAAATCTTGTTTTGGTTTCTCTTAGTGTGCCCAAAGTAGTCTGACTAATCCCCCACCCCTGAAACATAGACAGGAAGAAAGAACTTGTCTAAGCAGTAAGGAAAAAAGAGAAGTGAAATACAAGAAGCATGAAACCAGTCACATTGTAGAAGTCCGGTTTTGTTGTGTTTTTCACACAGCGAGCAAGCTTCCAGTGCCTCTTGTCACACGATCCAAGAAAAATGCCTTTTAGTTTCTGGGACCTTCCCTGTCCCAGCTGTTCCTGGCTCAGCCCTTCCAGGACAGGCCCAGAGGAAGTGGGAGGCTGGCTTGTCCAGATGCACAGCTCTGACCATTCTCAAGGTTGACATTCGGGCTATTTTTCTGCCAGGTCCCCACTCCAGGGAGTCACAGCGTATGTCTTCCCCACAGCCATGCTGGTAGGTGTGCAGTGAAATCTCATTGCAGTGTCAGTTTGCATCTCCTCCATGGTTAATGGTCTCTAACATCTTTTCCTGCACTCATCTGCTGCTTGTATATCCTCTTCAGTGAACTGCCTGCCTACGTAATTTTCTAATTGGATAGTTGTTCCTTTTTACCATTGATTTGGTGATGTCTTTAACGATTCTAGAAAACTAGCATCAAATATGTGGTTTGTGAATATTTTCTCTCTGTCTGAGTTTGGCTTTTCATCCTCTTCACAGACTTTGCCACAGAATAAACGAGTCAGTCATTTTTATCAGTTTTTTTTTCTTTTTTTTCCCTTACAGCCTATGTTTTTGGCATTAAGCCTAAGAACTTTTCCCTAACACTAGGTCCAGAAGATTTTCTTCCATATTTTCCCCTAAAAATTTTTATCATTTTACATTTTGCATTAAAGTCCATGATTCATCTTGAGTTAATTTTCAGAATATATGTGAGGTTTCGGTTGTTTTTGTTTTTTGTTTGTTTGTTTATGAGTATTCATTTAGGTGTAGTTTTAAAGGTTAATCCCTACAGCAACCTTTTGAAATGGGTATTCTAGTATCAGCCCATTTTACAAATGGAGATGCCCAGAGATTTGGCCTGTGACCAGCCCCACAGTGAAGGAGTGTTAGGGAAAAGCCCAACTGATTCACCTGCTTTGCATTTAGGCCCTGCCCTCCTGCCTCCTGCCATCCCATTCCCCCTGGGACTCTTGCTTCCCAGATGTTCCTGCACACATTCCTTCCTCCTGAGTCACCTTGTCCTCCCTGTAGGCTACCCGGGACACAACCTGCCAGGGCATGTCCAGGTGTCCTGTGATATGTGTGCAGAGTGGAGAATGGAGACAAATTGGAAACTGCCCTGTGTGCAAAGACTCGGTCATTCTCCTTAGGGGAAGGCTTACACTGGGTTTCAGCATCTTCCAGAGTATTGCAGAACTGCTTTACCAGCACTGGTTTGGGTGCAGCAGGTTGAAAATTTTAGGATCCCTCCCAAAAAAACAATCACACGTGCAGACACACACACACACACACACACACACACACACACACACACACACATTTATTAAGTCCAAGTCCAGAACATATCCATCCCCCAGCTGCCAAAATAAAATTCATTGAAAGAGGTCACGGTCAAAGAGCATCTTGAGTCAAAATTCCTGTGACCAGAGCCTGTTTCTAGCCCCTCTCAGAGGTTTTGGTTTGTGGTCAGACTATTCCCACCTCCTTCCCTCATCCATTCCTGTCCCCATTCACTTGTAGGAGCGGCGGTGGAAGGTGGATTTCTCCTCTCCAGCTCTCTCCTCCCTACTCACTGGCCGTGGACTTCCGGCCAGGCAGGACCTAGGAACCTTTGCACTCCCGGCCCTGGAAAGAAACTGGCGCCTCTAGGTTGATCTCACTCTTCCCCAAATCCCTGAGCATCACGCGCTTATTAACAAGGGATCTAGGAAACTTCTGCCTCTGTGACCTTACACTGGGAAGGTCCCCTCTCCCTACAACTTCTCCCAGGGCTGTCCAAAGACTACTAGGCTTTTGTCCTGGCCCACTTAGGAGATAGAGAAGAAAAAGAATGAGTCCAGTCTAATGGCTCCAGTTTCTATAGGGATGAGAATATATCTATTTTCCCAGATTCTTCAGAAGCCTCTGGGTTGCTTGAACTCATAGGTTGTCTGTTTTAACAGGTGGACCAACAATAGCACACCTGGGCCCTGTCTGTCCCTCCACCTCTACCACTGTAGAGTGTACCTCCCCAATCTCCATGCTCACTGCCCCCCGACTCCCCCCCTGCAAATCTCCTCGTCTCCCATCAGTAATGTCCTCTATAATCTTCCAAACCTCCGGGGGAAGTGGGGAGGGTGAGAACAGGCAGGGCTGCTGGAGGAGCAATATGTCAACATGGCCGTGCCCTGCCTTGCTGCAGCCAAAGCAAGCTGGGGTCCCCCTCTGACATTGTTTGGGGTATGGCTCCTGCTCTGAATTCAGGTTCTATCACCACCACCCTCTTTCAGGGGCATGATTCTAACCCCCACCTCACCCCCATTCTTAAAAGGCTACCCCTTGCTCCCTATGCCTAACTCTTTCTATAGCAACCAAACAAACCTGGGTTTGAAACTCAACTACCACTTACTAGCCATGTGGCCATGCACTACTTACTGCTTTCAATCCCGGTTCCCACATCTGTAAACAGGGAGATCACATCTGTAAAGCATGTGCCATAGGCAAGATAGCTACTGCTTTCGGACAAAGTTCACGCTCAGTCATGACCACACTGGTCCCTTTGACAAGGGTCTCTGGGCCAGTCTTTGGTCCTTCTCTCCTTGTCAGAATTCATCCTGGAGGTGCCATGGGAACCACCAGCACACCCACTCTGTGGCCTGGGAGTAGGGCAGGAATGCGCTCCGCTGCTTCCTGAGCTTCATCTCTGGTCCCAGGCAGCCAACTCTCCCCACCCTTGGGCCAAGGAGTCCACCTCCCCTGTGGTCAACCCCAGGTCAGGCACCCATCCCCTGAGGTTGGGGTTGAAAGCAGGGCCAGTTGGGGGAGCTCCCTGCAGACAGGCACCCTGCCTCTCACCCCACTGTTCTTGGTGACCCCTTCTTGGTGGCCTTTAACACACCAACTCTGGTTAACAAACAAACAAAACCCAACAACAACAACAAAGGAAGCATTAAGCCAGTGGGGCCCACAGATTCAGAACAGAAAAATCCCCATTGCAACTTTCTTACTCTCTACTTGCTGGGGGGGGGGGGGGGGGGGGGCGAGGAAGCATCCACACTCAGATGGAAACCCCTAGCATAGTCCTGAATGATAGATGAAATAGAGTGGGCAGGACTGGGATGCCAGGACACAGCTTTATTGAAGAGAAGCGTACCGAGAAGCGTACCATTGGATGCTGCTTCCAGAGAGAGCAGAAGACAGTGAGGGCGGGGTCCGTGTACTTTTAAGGGGAGAATAGGGGACGGGGCTTAGGGCACTCAGCACATGCTGATTGGTGGTTTCATGTAAGGCTTATGATTAGGGACCTAGGGACTTAGGAATGGGGGGGGGGGGCTTGCGGTATTTGGCAGGTGCTGATTGGTGGTTCAATGTACAGTCCATATAAGGTGCTCAGGAATGTCCGGCTGCAGGTGGAGTTTATGTCTGTCCATCAGTTGGAGGAAGGGAGGATCTATCACTGAATCCTCATAAACCCTCAGTAAGCGTTGCCCTTAGAGCTGGATCTCAATCAAACAGGGCCAGCTCCTCTGCCAGACTCCTGCTTCCAACTTCAGGACACTTCCTCTTCCAGAGCCCTCCTAACAGGGCAAGGGCCCGGGGGTTGGGAGGGAAGGTACGGGGGAGAGGCAGGGGAATCACAGGCGGAGCCTGAGGAAGGGTGCTGGCTGGAAGGGGTCTCTCTGGGTTCTCAGAGGGACATACCCTCTTTCCAGGCCCGGGCCAGGCTGCCTGGGGCCTAGGGCTCCGGTTTGGGTTTCCCCGCCCTTGCAGACAGGCTGGCTCCTCCTCCTGCGGAAGGAGGGAGGTAGGGCGGCTCTCCTCCCGGTCCCAGCCTCCAAGGGACCCAGAGGCGGGAGCCCGGCTGGAGTGCGGAGCGCAGGCCCCATGGCCCTGGGCCTGGAGCAGCGGCTGGGCGGCCTCCCCGTCTTCACCCGCGAGGACTTCGAGGGCGCCTGGCGGCCCGTGGCCGGCGGAGGCTTCGGCCAGGTGTTCCAGGCGCGGCACCGGCGCTGGCGGACCCAGTACGCCATCAAGTGCGCCCCCTGCCTCCTGCCAGACACCTCCAGGTACTTGTGGGCTCGCCTTCCCATTTGGCAGGAGGAACTGAGGGCAGGGGCTCCACAGGGAGAGAGGGACGTCTGGGTGAGAAGGGGGGGTTGTCCCCTCGCCTTTCCGAACTCTAGCCAGAGGCCAGGCTCCCCAGGCTCAGCATGCCTCCATCCTGTGACTGCATGCAGATGGCACCACACCTGCTGGTGGAATCCAGAGGCTGCAGGGGAGCAGGAATTACCCCCCAAACTGGTCCTGCTCCTTCTTCCTAACACCTCTTCCTTCTGGGTGTCAGGGTGGTGAGGGCTGCTCTTGGTGGCCCTTTGCCACCCTCCTACCACCCTCACCACCTCCGGGCGGCAGGACTGGGCTGGCGGGGAGGCTGTGCCCCGGGGAGGCTGTGCTTTGGCTCCGTGATACTCAAGGATGGAGGGAAGAGGTTCCCCTCCCATGGCCATCCCGTGGTCCCTGCCCAGGAGTGCAGGCTGAAGAAGGCCTAAGGGATGGCGACCCCGGACAGGCCACTTGCTGGCTCTCACAGGTCCTGCTGGGAGGTCAGCCTGGATGCTGCCCTGTCTGTCCTCGCCTTTGTCTCAGGCTCCTCCCCACTCAGCACCTGCACCTCTTCCCACTGTGTCCATATCGCTGCCTTCCCCTGAGATGGACTCAGTCTCATTCCCGCCTCACTTGCTGGTCCAGGCTGCGTGCTTGTCCCCTGTGCAGCCATGAAAGAGACGCTCGGATGTGAAGTGTGAGCATGAAGCCCATGTCTTTTTCCTAAGGCTCCTGGACCTTCACTTCGAAGGCCTGGGGGGCAGTGCTCTTGTTGGCACCGTATTTGGGTGCTCTTTGTCCTGTTCTCTGTACAGGCTCCCAAGACACAGCCTCAGGCCCCACACACTGAAGCCAGTCCCTTCCTAATTCCCAGACCCCCACCTGCTTCGAGTGAGGCAGCTCCAGGCTTACCCACTTTCCTCCCTTAACACCTGCCTGTTGCTTCAGAGTAGAGCTAGATTATCCCAGGGTGTGTCCAAATCATCTACAGCCTTTGAAGTAAAGAACAAAGGGAAACAGATGGCATTGGCAGACTGCATTGTTAGACACTGACAATAGCTTCTGCCACTCTCTGCCTAAGTCCCAGGAGCTCCCTGGGTAGAATGGGCTGAGGGATTGGGTGGTAATTAATGCCTGCCATGCATGGAGTACTATCCCAGGAGTTTTATCTATATTACTTCACTGGATCCTTCTTTCGTCTCCTCATTCATTCATCCATTTGACGAATGCTTATTGCCCAACTATATGTCAGGCACCGTGCTAGACCCTGAGGTACGATGATGAGTACAACAGATACAGCCCAGTTCTTCTAGAAAACAGCCTGGAAGGACAAAGACATTAACCAACATGTAAACATGTGTGCTGCTGTGAGAAGTAGTACAAGGAAGGAGAGATTCATGGTTCTATGAGAGCATATTAATAGTGCTGAACTGAGATCAGAAAAAGGCTTTCCCTAGGAGGCTACACTTGAGCTGATATGTGAAGGATGAGTATGAGTAAGTAGGTGAGGAGAAAACTTTCCAGGAAGAAGCAACTAAGTGTGCAAAGAGCCCAGGGCAGGAGGGGAATACAGATTAAAGGATGGGAACGTGGCTGGAGCTGAGAGAGAGGGAGCAGTCAGTGGAGAGCTCTGAAAGCTTTGCAGTCAGGTGGGGTGGTGGGGACAGGGAGGAATTGATCAGGATTACAGTATGGAGAATGGATTGGAAGGTTAGAGTGGATGCTGGTCCAGTTAGGACACTGTTCTCATCGTTCAGACAATGAGACCAACAATAGCACGCTGGGCCTTGTCTGTTCCTCTGCTGCCACAATAAACACTGGTGTGTTGTGATGGAGTGAAAGGGAGAGATTACGTAGTATTCAGGAGGTAAAAATCCACTCAGAGTGGTGCTGGGTTGCTTATGGGGCCACTCAAGGAAGGGACTGTGAAGGCTAATTGATGTCTGGCTTGCCCAAAGGAACCAGGTCCACTAGAATGTCTATTCTGTGAGAGAGTCTGTGTCTGTCCTGTTCCCCACTCTGTCCCCAGTGCCAGGCACATCATTGGTGTCCAGTAAGTATTTGTTGGACTATATTGTTGACAGTAAACAAGGGAAACATGAAAAGAGGCCCCAGTTTGGAGAGGAAGAGCATGAGTTCCTTTTTCTACATGTTGAGAAGAATGGCCTGGTAGCCTTCAGAGTAAAGGTCTGAGCTAATGATATTAAAATGTGTGAGTTATTTGTTTAGTGTAATTGAAGCTAAGGACATGGATAACATTCATTCATGTTAAGCACTAAGTGAAAAAAACAAAATCTCTCCCTTCATGGAGTTTATATTCTAATAGAGAAAGATAACAAATATGTAAATAAACAAACAAGCTTGCAAATAAGCAATAAATATGCAATATGTAAACAAATAAACAAACATGTGCAAATAAACAAACAAATCAATGAATAATTTGATCTATAGTGATTACAACCACCTGATATTATCTTGATTAAAACACCTAAGAAGAGTTGAGTAATCTGATCTTCCAAGAAAACATTTGACCTAGGAATGTTAATTTGCTGGCCATCTGTGTACTGGGGATAAGGATTGCCAGAGTTAGGGTAGGGTTGCTATTTTATATAGACTTGAAACCCTTATTAATTAGGTACTATTTGAGTAGAGATTTGAAGCAAAGAAGGAACAAGCCATGTGGCTTTTAGGGAGAGGTATTCTAGGCAGAGGGAACAGCAAGTGCAAAGGTCCTGAAGTGGGAACTTGCTTGACACAGTGGAGGAGCAGCAAGAGGCCAGCTTGGCAAGAGCAGAGTCAGGGAGGAAGTGATTCCTAGGATAGGAGATCAGGGATCTGTGTCCGGGGGCAGATCATATGGGGCTTCCTAGGCCACTTTAAGAACTTTAGCCTTTGTTGTTATTGAGACGAGACCCCTGGGAGGTCCTGAGCCAAGTAGTGACATGTTCTGACTGACATTTTGAACATATCACTCTGGCTGCGGAGTTGGGAATAGATGGCAGAGGGTAAGGGAGAGAAGCAGAGAGGCCAGTTAGAAGACTTGGGCCAGGATGCCAATGGGTAGAGGTGGTGAGAAATGATCAGATTCTTGCTATATTTTAAAGGTAGCACTGACTGGATGTGCTGAGGAACTGGTGTGGGAAAGAAAGAGAGAGAGGATCCAAAGATGACACCAAGACTTTGAGGACTAGGAAGTTGAGGCCCCATTCACTGAGATAAGGAAGGAGCAAGAGTTCAGGCTCTGGTCACATTAAGTGTCAAATACTCAACTGGAGATGCTAAAATTGCCTAGAGACAGAGTACAGAGTGAGAAGAAGGAAGAGGGCCTAGGTCTGAGTGTAATGATCAAGAAGCAGAAAGAGACCAGAACAAGAGGCAGAAATCCTGCAGAATATTGACACAAAGCTGAAGTAAGTTAATATTTTGAGGAAAAAAGAGTGAGAGATCTGACCCATAAACCAAGAATTGAACAATGCTCATAAGCTAGAATAATGTGGGGTCATTGGTAACCATAGCAGCAGCTATTCAGTGAAGTCCTGAGACCAGAAACCGGATGAAAAGAGGGCAGTGGGAGATGAGAAAAAGAGCAAGACCACAGGCAAAGCCAAAGCTTTCAAGAAGCTCGGTGTCCAGGGGAATTATGCGATTCCTGTTGTTCCACAGTCTAGTCACTGAGGAGTGGAGCTTGCCTACTCAAGGCATGCAGAGAGCAAGTGATGACACTGGAATTTGAATCAGGGCACAGTGCCCTCAGATCCCTGCTTTTTCCCACTTCCTGGCAGATGTCTCAGCTCCTGTGAACTCAGAGGACAGGAGACAGATAAAAATGTCACAGAGGTGAAGGGGAGCTCTCTGGAACCACAGGGAAGGAGAGATGAGAACCAGAGAACCATACTGGCCGGCCAGCCCAGATTCCAGGAAGAGCAGGTGCCTTTTCCTGGAGTTCAGGAGTGTTTGGCTGGCTTTCCACGGGGGCCCTCCAAGCACATTGCCAGCAGCTTCTGACTGCAGTGCCAACACAGCTTTGCAGATACACCACAGCTCTGATGTGAATTGCCTCATTGAAGAAGCAACCAAAATTGTCATTTCTCCCTAACCCTCATCTTGCAATCCCCAAACAATTCATAGTAATTTGCATGAATTCACTGCTCTGTGGACTCATTCAGTGAGAAGAGCTAGAGGGTTTGCAAATGCTTGTTTTCTAAGGCCTTCCCTTACTTCACTTCTGTTAGATTCCACAGAGACGTATTGTGCTGTTGGTGGTCATGTGCTATGGGGAGCATCTACACGCATCATATTATAGTTTCTCCATAACAGGAGATACCATGCAGCCATTGAAGTTCTTGCTTCAGTGGTGGCAGACAGAATAACAATGTCAGTAAGTGCTCAGGCTATGAGAACCAACCCACACCATGTGATGGAAAGGGAGAAAGAGGAGGAAGGAATAAAAGGAGGGAAGAAGAGAAACAGAGACCTTGGAAATATCTTGTAAAAGAATATATTAGAGTATTGATAGAGGCCAAATTTGGAAGGTTAGGATACTGACATTTTAATTTTTTTCTTTATAACTCTCTGTATTACCTAGATTTTCTACAGGGTGTATGTATTACTTTCATAGTCAAATGGCAATAAAAATATTTTAAAATGGAAGCAGGGGGCATAATATTGGTCCTCCAGAGTCTTGCAATCTACTAGGCGAGATATAAACAAGCAACCAGAATAGATGGCAGGCTTTTTTTGTTGTTGTTAATCCTCACCTGGGGATATTTTTTTCCCATTGATTTTTAGAGAGAGTGGAAGGGAGGAAGGAAAGGGGAGGAAAAAGGGGAAAGAGAGAGTGAGAAACAACCATGCCAGAGAGACACAGCCAGGGCTGGGGATCAGACCTGTAATTCAGGTAGGTGCCCTTGAGCGGGAGTCGAATCCACAACTCTTTGGTGCACATTCTGACACTGTAATTACTGAGCAACACTGGCCAGGGCTACATTGCAAACTCCTTTACGTCCTGTCTTTTTCCCTGCTGGACACCTAAAGCCTAATCTGTATGTCCTACTGGGCATTCTTCCAGGTCTCTCCTTCCTTCTATTTGACCTCACGAGGCTCCTCTGGGCCTGTGTGGGCTGGCAGCAAGCCTTGTGTGTGTGTTCTGCTAGTTGTTCTTGTAATTGATAGTCACCTCCTTTCATCCCCATCCCCCTCCACAGCTCCGATGTGAATTGCCTCATTGAAGAAGCAACCAAAATGGAGAAGATCAAGTTCCAGCACATCGTGTCCATCTACGGGGTGTGCAAGCAGCCCCTGGGCATTGTGATGGAGTTCATGGCCAACGGCTCCCTGGACAAGATGCTGTGTACCCACAGAATCTCCTGGCAGCTCAAATTCCGCATCATCCATGAGACCAGCCTGGCCATGAACTTCCTCCACAGCATTAAGCCACCTCTGCTCCACCTGGACCTGAAGCCAGGCAATATCCTCCTGGATAGCAGCATGCATGTCAAGGTAATTGCCCTGGTCAAGCTCTGTCCCCTTTTACTTTGGCGTCTCCTCCAGGGTGGGCAGGATGATCTACCTGTCTGACTGGCCTGTCAAGGGTTTTAAGCAGCTTCCTTCATGGATGAATACTGAAGGCAGCCATCACACCTCAACCAGTTGGATGAGCAGTGGAACTGGTGCATGAAACCCGGTATCAGGATGCCTGCAATGCCCCTCTTTGGGCCTCAGTCTCCCAATTCTGATGTGGGAAGAAGAATCTCTGTCCTTCCCATTCTTTCTGTCAGGTGGGGGATATGTGTAAATGAGATGACCCTATAAAAGGCCATTTTTTTCAGTTCCCAAAATATGCCACTCTTTTTCTGCCCCAGGGCGTTTGCATATTCTGTCCCCATTGTCAGAAACAGCACTCCCCTACCCCCTTCTTTATGTAACAAAGGACTATTCATCTTTCTGTTCTCAGCTTAAAACCTCAGTGGAGGTTTTCCCTGATCCACCCTGCGGGCCCCTGTAAAATACCCTTATTACATCTCTGTCTCTTCATATTGCTGACTCCCATTGTAAATATATAATAATATATGTGACACTACTTCATTGGTGACCATACCCCTTTTCTGAATAGCCACTTGGGACAGTAGTGGGTGTGAGAGTTCTCATCTTTTCTATCTGATGCCTCGACCTCAGTACCAGCCGAATTAGCACCCAGTGCCTACTCACTCAGCATATGAATGAATTAATGGATGGAAGTACCAGGTGTGCCGGTTAATAATGCGGATTTTTTTCCCCAATAGTTGGAGTTACACATATGTTGATATATATGCGATTTGATATGTATGCTATTTTGTTGTATTGACAGCAAGCTTCAAAACTTCATATGTCAAATTTTCTGAAGATGTTAACATCATAGATATTTTTATGCCTAAAAATGTTGAATTTCATGGGGGGAAAAAAGAACATTTGTGGGAAATTTTAATTCATTACTTTATTTTGAAAAAAAAAAAAAGTTATCCTATACTTCAGGAAGTTTATGGTGAACATGCTCCATCTCGAGATAGTTGTGAGTGCTGGTTTAAATGGTTTAAAAGTGATGATTTCAATGTGAAAGACAAAGAATGTTCAGATCAACCAAAAAAATTTGAAAACCAACAATTGCAAGCATTATTGGATGAAGATGCATGTCAAACTCAAAAACAACTTGCAGAAAGATTAAATGTTGCTCAGCAAACCATTTCCGATCATTTACAAGCAATGGGAAAGATTTTAAAGGAATGAAAATGGGTGCCACCTCAACTGAACGAAAGACAAATGGAAAACCGAAAAGTCATCAGTCAAATGTTGCCTCAATGACATGAAATAAAGTCTTTTTTGCATCGAATTGTGACTGACAATGAAAAGTGGATTTATTTTGAGAATCCCAAATGCACAAAATCATGGGTTGATCCAGGTCAACCATCAATATCGACTGCAAGGCTGAATCACTTCGGAAAGAAGACAATGCTCTGCGTTTGGTGGGATTGGGAAGGTGTGGTCTATTATGAGCTTCTAGTACCGGGTGAAACCATTAATACTGATCTCTCCTGACAACAAACAATCCATTTGAACCACACTTTGTTCGTGAAAGGACCATAATGTGCCAGAAGACAAGGCAAAGTAATTTTGCTACATGATGACGCACCATCACACTCTTCAAAACCAGTTAAGGACAAGTCAAATGGTGAACTTGACTTTCAATTCCACTGGGCTATCCTAGTTTCCTGACAGTCTGTTTTCCTGACATTCTCGGCAGCAGGGTGGGAGTGCTTTTTGCTTATGTACTCATTTAATGCTCACAATAGCACGATGAGCTAAGTGCTCATACTATTTCAGTCTTATAGATGAGGAAACGGGCTCTGAGAAGATAAGAAACCTGCCTAAGATCATAGTAGGAGAGCTGGAGATGAGCCAGCCCTTAGCCACTGCTCTGTGGTGGGAAGGGAGGAGAAACAGTCCTATGGAGGCAAGACTGTTGCTCCTATATCCCCCCCCTCTCCCCGTCTTCCTCCCAGGTTTCAGATTTTGGCTTGTCTAAATGGATGGAACAGTCAACCCGGATGCAGTACATCGAGAGGTCGGCTCTGCGGGGCACCCTCAGCTACATGCCCCCTGAGATGTTCCTGCAGAGTAACATGGCCCCAGGGCCCAAATATGATGTGTACAGGTGAGAGGGGGGCTGGCACCATCTTTACACTGAAGAAGTAGCTTGTCACAACCTTGCCTGGACCCGGGACCCAAAGGGCAGGGTGGGCCAGGGATGAGGTGGGAGGGGAATGCACAGAGAGGGACTCTGGCTGAAGGGGATTTGCCTGGGATTGTGTGGCCCGTGGGCCCCCTGACCAGGAACACTTTCCCCATCTGCAGCTTCGGGATTGTCATCTGGGATATCCTCACTCAAAAGAAGCCGTACTCAGGTAGCAGACGGCAGTGGGACCCTCAGTGGGGTCCTGGCAGGGGTTGTGGGGGGGCTGAGGGTTCATGGGGACAAGGCCAGTGCAGGGTTGTGTTGTGGGGAACTCTTCAGGGGTTCCCATCCACATCCACCTTCCTTCCTCCCCTACTTTCCAGAGCTCACCTTACCGTGAGAGGTGGGGTGAACATCAGCCCAGACCAGCCTTTCTGCTCTAATTCCTGTGCTCCTCCCTGCACCCCCCACTCCCACCCTGCTGCCGAGAATGTCAGGGAAGCAGACTGTCAGGAAACTAGGATAACCCTAGTTATAACCCTAGGATAACCCAGCGGAATTGAAAGTCAAGTTCACCATTTGGCCTGTTGGTCAGCCCTGCTGTCTTTGGATAGCAAAGGTCTATAGGGTGGTGCCATGTCTGGTTTTGGGTGGGCAGTGGCTGAAGCTGGGCCAGAGACTTAGAACCTAAAGTGGCCCTGCAATCTAGCTATTGACTCTCTATGCATTCATAGGGGCCCTGCTGGGTGCACCATCCTGTGGGGATCTTCAGAGCCCCTCTCCTGCCCAGTTCCTCTGCCTCCATAACCCCCCACATTCCAGCACCCACACAGCCTGGGCTTCTCTCACAGGCCTCAGTATGATGAACATCATCATCCGAGTGGCTGCGGGCATGAGGCCTTCCCTACAGACTGTCTCCGATGAGTGGCCAGAGGAGGCTCAGCAGATGGGGGACCTGATGAAGCGCTGTTGGGACCAGGACCCCAAGAAGAGACCCTGCTTTCCAGGTTCTCACCTGCCTGGCCTGCCCAGGGAACAGGGAGTAGTTTGGAGAGTAGGGTGGGGCTGCCGCAGGAGGGGGTAGGAGAGGAAGTAGAGCCCCAGGCCACTCTGAGGGTTCTGAAGAGAGGCCTGGGATGGCTGGGCAGCATGCAGTGCTGGGAGGGAGTGGGGAGGCAGGGCAGCTGAGGACTTGGGGAGTGGAGGGTCTGACCCCTAGAAGTTGCCCGGAGCCTAGAAGCTTTGTTGCCTGAAGGTGGCTGGGGCTAGCTCTGCTGCTTCTGAGTTCTCCAGGTACTACTCACTGCCACCACTGTAAATGTTCCCAGACCAGGAGATTACTGTGAAAACATGCCCTTAGGACCTTAGGAGTGCATCTTAGAGATCACCTAGTCCTCCCCCCCCCCCCATTTGTGAAAAAGGACTGACCCTCAGAGGGTAGTGACCTGTCACGTGGCCCACCGAGCAAGGCTGAGACAGATCTGTTCTGCCTCCAGGTGCACATGTGTGTGAGCCCAGGAACAGATGGGGGGGGGGGGCGCACAGGAGACATAGCGCATCCACAATGGGGGAGGATTGCTAGTCTGCCTGTTGCTTCCTTCCTCTCTCACTCCCCTTTGTGACGCAGACATCACCATCGAGACAGACCTGCTGCTGTCACTGCTCCAGAGCCCTGTGACCGACCCCGAGAGCGAGGCCCTGGCCAGGAAGGTGTCCTGCAAACCATCTCTCCGCCGGCCCCGGGAGGTGGGTGCGGGGGGCTGGGCGTGGTCTGCGGCAGGCCCTGGGGTGTGTGCCTACGTGTGGTCCTCACAAGGCCACCTGGCAGAGAGGCAAGTGGGGACCCAGCCACATGTGCCAGGGGTCCTGTTTTGCTAAGTACACCAGGGTTCTCTAGGGCTAGTGTTGGTCGTGTCCTCTCTCAAATGCATGAATGAAGCAGAGGCCTGTCCTGCAGAGGGAGACCTCAGCTGTCCCAGACTTCCCCACTGTGGACATCAGCACCATCTCTCTTCTCCTGTCCATTCCCTGACTTGCGAGCCAGCCATGGTTAGTGTATGCTCCCGGCTGAACCCACACAGACACCCTGCTTTCCATGTGGCCCAAGGGCAAGTCCAGGCCCTGGGCCACCTTTTCCCAGCACGGTCTCCCTGATCAAGTTTTCTGTTAGACACAGCTGGTGTAGGAGTGACGAGGAGGGGTCTCTGAGGACCTGGGGGATGTGAGTCTTACCCCTGAGGGAGAGTATGGGGGAGAAGGAAGGAGCGGAAGAGGCCTGGGCCAGAACCGCCCTGTTGATCCACCCTGTGTCTCTGGTTCTCCTTCCCCAGGTCAGTGAGGAGATCAGCCAGGATCTCACAGACAGCGGTGAGTCCAGAATGCACATGGGGGGGGGGGGGGGCAAAGAATTCTCGGGGAGGAGAAAGTGGAATCAAACCACACCCTTTTCCCAGCCTCTCTGGCCCCCTCCCCCTCTCCAGAAATTAGAAAATGAAAAGAAAAAAAAAAAAAAAAAGCCAATGCCTGGGCCATCTAGACTAATTAAATCAGAATCTCAGGGCAGTGGGAGAGAAGGGCCGGGGATTGGGGAATGGTAGTATGAGGTGGGCATTGCTGGGGTCCCCTTCAAGGGGCAGGACCTGGAGGCTCAGAGTCAGAGTTGGCTAAGGTCACGTGACGCTGAGGGGTGGGTCGGGATTTGCACCCAGGCCTTGCTGCCCATTCTCAGGGGGAAGAACTGCCATAGTCCGTTCTCCAGCGCAGTGGCCCCCGCACAGAAACCCATGGTGTCAGGAAAGCCACTCCTCCAGCCTCTGTTCCCCGGGCAGCACTTCAGGAGGCAGGGGGTGGCCGCGATGACCTCTGGGCAGGTCAAGGTCCTTTTCACCCCCGCCGCTCTCCCCGCAGACTCAGGAGGCTGTTGGAAGCCGGTCCTGCGGTTCCCGGACAGCGGGAGCCCAGTCTCCAGCGACGAGGAGTCATGCTTCTATGAGAACAGGGTCACCCCCCTGCACTTCCTGGTGGCGCAGGGCGGCATGGAGCAGGTGCGGCTGCTGCTGGCCCACGAGGTGGACGTGGACTGCCGGACGGCCTACGGCTACACGCCCCTCCTCATCGCCGCCCAGGACCGGCGGCCGGAGCTGTGCAGCCTGCTCCTGGGCCACGGGGCCGACCCCTGCCTGGCCGATGAGGACGGCTGGACGCCGCTGCACTTCGCGGCCCAGAACGGGGACGACCGGACCGCCCGCCTGCTCCTGGACCACGGCGCCCGCGTGGATGCCCAGGAGCACGAGGGGTGGACCCCGCTCCACCTGGCCGCGCAGAACAACTTTGAGAATGTGGCACGGCTCCTGGTCTCCCGGCAGGCGGACCCCAACCTGCGCGAGGCCGAGGGCAAGACCCCGCTCCACGTGGCCGCCTACTTTGGCCACGTCGCCCTGGTCAGGCTGCTGACGGGCCAGGGGGCTGAGGTGGACGCTCAGCAGCAGAACCTGCGGACACCCCTGCACCTGGCCGTGGAGCGAGGCAAAGTGAGGGCCATCCAACACCTGCTGAAGAGCGGGGCGGCCCCGGACACCCTGGACCGGAACGGCTACAGCCCACTGCACACCGCGGCCGCCCGGGGCAGGTTTCTCATCTGCAAGATGCTGCTCAGGTACGGGGCCAGCCTCCAGCTGTCCACCCGGCAGGGCTGGACACCCCTGCATCTGGCCGCCTACAAGGGCCACCCGGAGATCATCCACCTGCTGGCCGAAAGCCACGCAGACGTCGGGGCCCCCGGCAGCATGAGCTGGACGCCCCTGCACCTGGCCGCCCGCCACGGGGAAGAGGAGGTGGTGGCAGCGCTGCTGCAGTGTGGGGCCGACCCCAATGCCGCCGAGCAGTCGGGCTGGAGGCCCCTTCACCTGGCAGTCCAGAGAGGCGCCTTCCTGAGCGTCACCCACCTCCTGGAGCACCGCGCGGATGTCCACGCCCGCAGCAAGGGGGGCTGGACCCCCGCCCACCTGGCCGCCCTGAAGGGCAACATGGCTGTCCTCAAAGCACTGGTCAAAGCCGGTGCCCAGCTGGACGTCCAGGCCAGGGAGGGCTGCACACCCAGGCAGCTGGCCCTCCGCAGCCAGAAGCAGGGCGTTGCCGCCTTCCTGGAGGGCAGGGAGCCCTGGCTGGCTGTGGTGGGCAGCGCTGAGCCTGGAGAGCAGCCCGAAGTATAGAGCCCCTGGGCCCTCCTCGCCATAAGGACGGGGGGGTGGGTGAAGAGCACTGGGCTCTGGCAGGGCTGCTTCCCTGTACCTGCCACCTAGTCCCTGTGTGATAGCGGGACAGGGAGAGGCACGCTGAGGTTGCAGCTGGGGAAGGCCTGGCTCGGAGAGGTCCTTCAACACCTTCCCCAAGTGCGAGCCCAGCAGACCCAGCTCCTCCTCCTCCTCCTCTCCTTTTCCTCCTCCTGTGCCTGGATTTGAGCCCCGAAAGTGAATTCCCTTCTCATTCCCAAGATGCGTGCCACCTTGGGCCAGCCGCCCCTAGGCTCACACGGCCCTGTGCATCCCAGGACCCCTCTCTGAGGACGAAGGCACGGAGGAGACAGAACGCTCCCCCAGCTCTGGTCTGTGTGACCTGGCCCCGTACCTGGGTGGGGCCAGGAGATCCAGACACCGGCGCTTCATACAAGGGCCGGAGCTAAAAGCCCAGAGGACATTCTGCTCGTCATGTACCACCCAGCCAGCCCTGCTGCTGTGCTGACCACAGTGTCTGCATCTCCCGCACAGGCTCTTGGGGGAAAGGAAGGTGGTGCTCCAGCTCCCCACAAGGGATCCTGTGTGGATGCTCAGTCCCTGGTCTCTCTACCCAGCCTTCACTGTGTCCACTCACGTGGCTCAGTTCAGACCCTGAAGTCAATAAAGCTATGGTTGGAGTCCCCCTTAGAGAGAGATCGGCCGGTGGAGCCTGGCTGCAGAGGGGCCAGTGATGTTAGATGGGGTGTGTGTGTGTGTGTGTGTGTGTGTGTAAGTTCCTTGGGTGTGAGTTCACACAGTGGGGCGCAGGCGGCAAGAGGAGGGGGTGCTGGGGAGGAGGAGGTTATCTGGGTTCCATGGTGCTCGCCGGTGGGTCTTTCCTGTCCAGCAGCAGCAGAGAGCTCTCCTGTGACCACCGCCTAGCCACCCTCTGCTGACGGGCCTGGCTGCTCACACCAACCTTGTGTGACGGAACCCTGGCTCAATGGTCGGCTGGCATCTGCTTCCTCTCTGGCTCTGCCAGGGCTGGCAACCCTTGGAACGGGGTGGAGGGGGACTGTGGTATGGGCAGAACAGGTGACCAAGGCATCCCACCTGCCCCCCTCAACCTTTCCACACTGCTGAAGCAGCCCTTCCACCTCAAGGGTGTCTCGTGGTTGTCAGAGAAAAGGAACCTTCTGCCCCATCTAATGGCCAGTTCCATCCTCAGCCAGCTCCCAGGCCCACTTTGCATGCCACCCTCCCCAGCTTTGTGCAGCGCCCTTAGCTGGCAGCCTTACCTCAGTGTGGCGTGAGGCGACACCTGTCGCCCATGTACATGTCAAGCTCATGAGTCATTTTCAACAGAGCTGGGAGCATTGTGTCTCCCATCCTGTGGTCCCTGGATTGTGGCGCCAGCTCTTGGGCCCTGGACACTTCACCCCACCATGCCGCAGCCTGTAGCCCCACAGAGACCCCCGGCAGCCCTGAGCTGGGGTGTGCCCTAGCACACTAGAATCTCCCAGGGGAAGAGTGTGAGGGGGTTGTTAGAGCGGCTTATTAAATATCTGGCGCTACCCAGAATCTCCGGGACAGCACCCAGGCATTCGCTGGAGCGCAGCCAGGGCCGAGCACATCCACCAGGGGGCGTCCTGTGGCTTGTCTCTGTGCCTTAAGGATCCAGGAAGACAGAGACTGGCCAGCAGCCCAGGGCAGTGGCCTTTTCTTCTCCTGGTTGGATGAGTGGGGAGTCCTGAGGACTGGGGGTTAGGGTGAGAGGGGTGGGGGGGGGGAACAGGGGGCAATCAGCAGACTGTCCCATCCTCCTGCTCCTTGCTAGCCTCCTGGCCCATTCTCCTTGTTCTCCCTGAGACGAAGCCATAGGCAAAACTTGTAGTTAAAAACATCCCTGGAGTCCTGCCTTTCCTAGAACATGCTGGAGTGGAAGAGGGAAGGGGCAGGGGCTGAGGTCTGGGTCTGGCTCCAAGTCTGTGGCTGGGAAGGAACCAGAGAAGGGATGTGGGCTCCATATTCAGGCCAGGCGAGCCCAGGTTAACCCATGGGCGTGGTCAGGGTGAGCTGCAGAGGAGCAATAGTGCCTGTCTCATTCCACTGGAAAGAGTTTGAGGGAAAACCTTGAAAAAGGGAGTTAGAAGACAGGTGATCCTTTTGCACCTATTGCCCTATGAATGGCAGGGATCTCATGAGATTCAGACAAAACTCTCTCTCTAGGAATCATTTCCACTCTGAAATCCAGGGTCCAGGTCCTAAGACCCTGGCTTCCTCTATGTCCTTCCTCCAAGAGATAACTGAGCTGGGGGGTTTGGCCGGGCTCCGGCTAGCACAGCCCCTCATTGCCTGCTAGCACCGTCTTGTCTCTTTCGAGCCATCCCTTTCTGGGCAGACAGACCCAGCATCTACCTTGAGTCCAGCCACAGACACACAGCATCCACCCTGCACCCACTTCAGTAGCTGCCTTCTGGCAGTTTCCTAGGGATGTTTAAAACTGGACGTTAGTGAGGCTCTTGAAACTCCCAACAAGCTGGTGTCTAGTTGAATTTCAAAGCCCATTTAGGGAGATTGGGGTTGAGGAGGATAGGAACGCTTCAATCTCCACCGGGGCATGCTACTAACCTGTTAAGCTCACCGTGTCCCAAACTGAGCATCCTCTTGCCCTCCGCCAGCCTGCTCCTCACCCTTCCGCCCTCCCATTAGTGAAGGTACCTAAGACCTTAGCCTAGGATCTATTCTAGACCAGCCTGCCCCACGGAACTCCCTGGGAAGATGGAAACGCTCCTTGTCTGAAGCTGTTCAAGAGGACAGCCACCAGGCCCCGGTGCTGTTGTGACATGTGAAATGTGGCTGGTGAGACTGAAGGAACACATTTTCCACTTGAGTAAGTTAAAGGTAAGCATCCACAGGACAGTCTATACTCTGTCGTGCCTATCCCCACCCAGGAAGCCCTCTCTGACTGCTGGCTAGAGATGGTCACTCTGTATCTACGCCCCCTGCAGGGAGGTTCAGAGATTGCCTCCGTTTGGGGATGGGCGCACCCCTGCCTGTGTTTATTTCTGCCTCCCAGCCCTCTAGGTGTGTCATCAGCGTTTACTGAATCCATTAGGGCTGTGGGTTGCTGCTGTAAAGTCAGGGACAGAGAATAGTTGCTAAGCTGGCCTGCGGCTGGGAGGGAAGCTCTGGGAAGTGGGAAGATACGGGCTTTGAAGTCAGTAGGCCTGGGTGTAAATCCTGTTGTGCCACCTGCTAGTGTGGCCCCAAGCTGCTGAAACTTCCTGGGCCTGGTGCACAGCCACACCGTGTGCTTCTCTCACTGGCGGTGGTCACAGCAGAATCAGGTGCCTTGTGGGTCGGAAGGGGGAGCAGTTAGCAGACACGTAGCATATTCTTTTCTTGCAGTTTCTCCCACGCCAGAGGAATTTATCTCCTGGAGTGGGGCGCCGACAAACCAGCTTTTGGGAGCCTTTGGCGGGTGCTCAGAGGAGCCACTGCTATTTTCCTTTGCTGCCCCTTCCCCCCGCCCATGTACATGCCAGGGGGGGGAGGGAGGGGGGAAGGGGCAGCACTGACACCTCCTGGGACACACCCAAAGGAGCATCCGCTCAGCTGCAGGGCAGGGGAGCCCCCATGTGGGCCATGCCCGCGGCCACGCAGCCTCAGTGACCACCCATAGATGGGATTACCCTAAGCTCTGAGAGCCAGCCTGTGGGGCTAGTGTGAGCAAAGCAAGGGAGCCATGTCTGCAGCCACCACGGAGGGAGGGCCCAGGGCTGGTGTTGTCCCTACTCTGCCTTCAGCTGGGCAGAGCAGAGAGGGCTCCACCTGCCCGAGAAGGGCAGGGAGATAATACAGGGCTGGGTACAAGCAGGCTTACAATTGTTTGTAGGGAAACAACACAATAATTAATCAATAATAACACAAGAATAAACCTTGTTTTTCATGTACTCACAACTGTAAACCTACTGTTGTCCACCGCAGTACAGAGCTGCGGGAGGGATGGACCTGAGCGTGGAGGCGGGGCAGGGCCGGGCCAGGTCAGCTTTGGGGCTCTGGGTCACCAAGCAGCACTAGACCTGCACTGTCTCCTCCCGGCAGTGTCCTCCCCTCCCGCCCGCCCCAGCCCGGGACGAGGCCCGGAGCCCTGCCTCCCCAGACAGCACTCTCACGGAGCAGATGGGCAGGGATGTTTGGAGTTGAGCCTGGTCAGAAAAACCCAGGTGCTGCCCGAGCTTGGTTCCTACAGAACCCCAGCCCCTCCCTGTACCCAACCCGTCCCTCACTTCACAGGCAGCATCTGCCCCCAGGTGCCAGGTAGGCAGCCTCCCTCGCTCCAGCCCCACACACATTGCCGGGTCTCTGGACAAGGCAGGGGCGGAGCGGGGAAAGCCCACGCAGGGCCGTGGCCTGCAGCACTGCCTGTGGACGTGACAGGCCGCATGCTCTGCCCGCAGCTCACACCCAGCTTTACTGCCAATGGCAGCTGGGATAGGAGAGAGAGTGGGAAAGTGTTCTTACCACACACCCCCTTCTCCCTGACCCCAGACCCCCAAAAGGCCAGGGTGGGACTCACCTTGGAAGATGGTATTCTCTCTCGTCACCAGCTTCCCCCAGACCCTCCAGGGCAGCTTGTTGGCAGAGACCTTCAGGAACAGGTGCCCTGACTCGCCTCTGGCTGCTGAAGCCATACTAGACACTGTGCTCCTGCCAAGCAATGCCTCCCCCGCCATACACACACACACACTCATTTGCTCTAGCAGCTAATCACAGGCACCCCAAGGATTCTGCCCTGAAAGCCTAGTCCGGGATGGGTTTTTTCCTCTACCTCCCTTTTAAAAATGCTCTGTCCAGACAAGCCTCCTCCTACTTTGTTCTAACTGGTCAAGAAGGGGTGGAATGGACAATGTCAGACAATAGTCAAAAGACTGGGTGCAAAGGCCAGCCTGCCACCCAGGCCACCCCCTCTGTCACGGGAGCATATGGACCGTCCCCTGGGGGCATGAGGACAAGGATCACATGGGGCCAGGCCCACCATGGCACTGCCTAGAGGAGAGTCAAGGCCACAGACACAGCCCGGGCCCTGGGGCTGGAAGGGCAGGCGGTGGTGGGCCACAGGCTGGGCCATGGCTCCCCTGGGACAGGGATGGTGTGGGGAGGGATCAGAGAGGTGGGCACATGTCCAACGTCCCCATGGCAGGCCAGTCCTCAATGTCCTGGTTGCTGGCAATTGGCTGTCCTGTCCTCGGGCCACTAGGAAGCAAGGTCAGCAGTCACTTCTCTCAGGGGCCTTCTGATCTACCAGTCAGGAAGTTCTCCAATGTCCTACCTACTTGCTCCAGGCCAAGGCCCACCAGGGCTGCTGCATCCCATGGCATTGTCTCCACTCGGTAAACGGGGCCCTGGCGCTGGGTCTCCACATCCAGCCAATGCTCTGCCCGGGGACCTGGACCTCTGCCTGTGACTTCGTGATTCACACCCATTGTCCACTGCCCCGTGAGTTTCCAGAAGACAGGGATCCTGTCCACCTTCTTCACCGTTTTATTCTCAGCACCTTGCTCGGGGCCTTGAACACAACAGTGGCTCAATACACACTCGCTAAGACAACAGCTGGGCAGGTGGGTGGATGGAGTGTTGGAATTTTTCCTGCACTATTTGCCTTCTCAGCGCCCAGGACACCTCCCAGCCCCTGGCCACCTGGGACTCCTCAGAACCCACCAAGGGAAGATGAGGGCCAAAGCTTTGGAGACCTGCAGCCACATGTGGGCACCTGAGAGGACACACGCGATGCCTCACCATGTCTGAGCAGAGGCGGGCTCCTTGCCGTGCTCTTGGGGAGGTGTAGGGACTGCACCTGCTATCAAGGCAGATGGAGGATTCTTGGAGTAAAAGTCATTCTATAAAAAAAAGACAGGCACAGGGAAATGCAGAGAGAGGAGAAAGTTTGAGCTCTGGAGTCTGTGCAGTCTCCAGCACCCTTTCCACCCTTGCTGTCAAGGCAAAGGGGCCGTGTCAGGGCCTCCTGGGAAAGAGCCAGAACCTGGGCCACCCCCTTCCACTCTGGCATTCCTGAGCCCCACACTCACTCCTTTGCCCCTGAAGTACTGAGGGGGGTGGGGAGGGGATGGGGCCCAGCCCTCCCCCTGCCCACTCTAGCTGTCAATCTGCTGTCTGGCAGAGACTTGACGCTTCATGACAGCTGTAGGCACTTTCCCGTCCCTCCTCCCACCCATGCCTGCCCTATTCCCCTCTCCTCCCTGCCACAGCCCCTCCAAGCTACTCTGAGACTGCCTCCCTCCCCTCTCCTTCTCTCAGTCCTTTCCTCCTTCTCTCCCTTCCTTTCTTCCTTCCTTCTTTCCCTCCTTCCTTTCCTCCTTCCTTCCTTCCCATTTTCCTCTCTCCCTTCCTTTATCATCTCTTCCAATAACCACATCTGATTAACCTATATAATCTCATAAGATTTCTAATGACAAGATAAGCTTTTAATCTCCATCCAGGTCAAGATCTTTTATGGACTGAGTGTGTGAGCCTGTGCTGTGTGTGTTGGTGAGCCTGTGCTGTGTGTATGTTGGCTGTGATGTGGGGATCAGCAGCTGAGAGGTCCTTGGTGCTTCTAGCCCCCGTGGGGGTCTGGTGCCCCCCCCCCAGGCATTGGGCACTGGATTATTGAACCCCAGCCAGATGAGGGACCTGTTTTGCCCACCTCTGGGATCCGGGTGTTCCTGTGGCCAGGAGCCTCTCCCAGAGCTCAGGGCTATGTTCAGGTTCAAGGAGAAGATCCAAGTCCATCATTAAGTGTTCAGGGCAAGTTAAGTGCTCTGAACTTCATGTGCTAAAAATATTGTATTTAGCATGCAAATTATGCCCTGACAGCTTCCCGCGCTTGGCCGTGGGTGCCGGCACCTTGTTTGTCATCACTGCCATTATTCTCCAGGTGGTAAGAACATTTCTTCTTCGTGGGGTTGTTTCTCTCACCGGGTCATGGCCCCAGAAGGTTCGGAGCTGTGATTGAATTTGAGGCAGTGGAGGGGGGACCGGGCCTTGTCCTTCAGGGCCTCCCTGCTTCCTGAACCTGCCCTAAATGGGGTCCTGATGTGACATGGAAGACAGGCGAGGAACAGACACAGCACTGCAGCACCTCGAAGGCCACCTTCTCCATGGAGCCTCTGCCCTGGCGGGTGAGGGCTGAGGCTTAGTCCCTTCAGGGGTGCTGGGCCCTAGAGTGGGGAATGAGATGTGGGGACAGCCTGGCTTCCCTCTGGCAACCCTTGTCACTCTGGTGATTAGGGGAGCCCACGGGGTGCTTGGGTTTCCCCCTAAAAATGTTCTTGCCTTCATCTTGGTTGACAGCTAGGTCAGGGCCGCACAGTGACAGGATGGAGAGGCTCTCAGGAGACTTGAGAGGAGAAGGCGGGAGGAGGGAGACACAGGCACACACATCTCCCTGTCCTGGGGCCTCTTCCTTTCTCCTCCCCCCGCCCTTTTCCTGGAGGGTGTGAGGACACCTCTCCACCCTCCCCACACAGACAGGGATCTTGGCTGCGTCTGAAGCGAAGGACAAGGTGGCGCCGTGCCCGTTGGCACAGTGCCCATCCCCACAAGGGGCCGCCAGGTGACTTATCAAAGTTTTATTTGTTTGGAGCATGTGTAGTGATGTTACAGAGCCTGGGGCTGGGGCTCCCCCACTGCAGCGTCCCGTCCCCCCTCAGCAGGGCCAGGCCAGGGCTCCTCCCTCAGCCTGGCTCCTCCGAGGCCCAGGCCGTGGGAGGGAGGGTGAAGGGAAAAGAGAGGAGGCAAAGGAAAAAGAAAGTGGGTTTATGACATCGTATGGCAGGAGGCTGCTCCCAAAGAACCTCAGACACCCCAATCCAGGCCCCAGACATAGTCACAGCCGGGTACATCCCCGGCTCCAGGCTGGCCACGCATTTGCTACAAGAAGTTCACCTGAGTCCCTCCGGAGGTGGCAGGGTGGGCTTGGGGTGGTCTCTTAGGGAAGCAGAGGCTCCTGTCCGGCGGGAGAGTGAAGATTTTTGGCTTGGGCTTCCCTGGGGTTCATTCTGTGGTCTGGTATTTACAGGGGTCTCACCAGAAAGAGGTTAGCCGGGGGCCTTGGCAAGCGCCCGGGTGTGGGCCTTGTGGGCTCTGAAGCGTCCATGCCTTCCCACTGTCCTCTCCGGCACAGACCTTGGAGACCAGGCTGAGCCCAACCAAGGGCACAGCCTCAAGTCTGACTCCAGCCCCTGCAACACCAGCTCCCGAGAGAAGCCAGAGCGGGCCGTCGCGTCTTTGGTGCCAAGGAGAAGGGTCTGGAAGTGGGAGGGGAGCTCTGTGAGCTGCCACTGAGCCACCGGGTCCAGCCCAAGGGCTGGCACCATACCTGGCTCTCTATACTACCCTGGCAGAGCGAGGGCATTCCGACAGCGTGGGGTGTGGTGCCAAGCTAACACTATAGGGCCTGCCAGGCAGAGGGAAGTCCACCCCACCCCCTCCCGCCCGGGGCTCCTGGGGACTGCGGCTGGCGCCGGGCAGGGAGGCGGGCAGCGGGTCAGCAGTGGAGGAGCTTCATGAAGGCCTTGCGGAACTCAATGTTAAAGGTGGTGTAGATGATGGGGTTCACGGCGCTGTTGACGTAGCCCAGCCACGTGAAGGCGCTGTACAGGACAGGCGGGATATTGCAGTCACAGTGAATGTTCAGGATGTGTGTGATGAAGAAGGGCAGCCAGCAGATGATGAACACGCCTGGGGGAGAAGGTGGGGTCAGGCTGGCCCAGGGCAGGGAGAGGCTGGCTGGGAGGGCCCACGCGCCGTGGGCACCTGGACTGCATGCCGCGGGCCCCAGCCCAGATAGATGTCCGTCCCACCCACTCTGGGCGGGATCCTGGGCGTCAAGGCATCGTGTGCACAGGATGCTTTGCTGGGATGTTGGGGGCCCCTGGGAGGGAGAAGTGCCTGTGAGGGCAGGACTGCCAGGCAGAGACCCTGTGGCCTGGAGCAGAGTGCCCAGCTCGAAGCCTGCTCCGTCGCTTCCAGAGGCATGATCGACCTTCGGTGACCCTGTGCCCTCATTTGTGAAATGAGGAGAGTTACATCTGCCCCACGCACATCTCAGAGCTGCCGGTGGGCACATCACACACTAGCCGGGTGGGCATGGAAGACAGGGCACATCAGTCCCTCCTTTTCCCAGCCATCCACATCAGTCCCGCCCACATTTTTTATCTTTATCATCTGGTTTTCCAAGGGACTTCCTTTGAAAGCACTACGGGATCCCCTGACAGACAGGACCCACTGACAGCTATGCCCTAGTTTGGATCGGGCTTTCTCACAACCCTTTTCTAAATTATTTACAACTCTGGTCCCTTAGGGTCTAGGTTAAGCTCAGGGGGACTGATTTTTCTAATTCCTGAGGAATAGCAATATTAACAGAGATTGTAATGATAACGCCTGTGTGCTCTGTTGAACAGTTTATAAAATGCTTTCCCCACCATCTGCCATTGATGACCACACAGCCTTGAGAAGTAATCTACTCGACTGATGGGCTTACTGGGGTTTTGAGGTTCTGGGTTATGAAGGTAGACTGGTCAAGTTTCACATGTTATTGAGTCAGATTCCCTAAGGTTAATTGTGGGTTCTCATTGGTCACGTTATAGGACCACTCTGAACCTCAGTTGCCCCATCTGTAAGCTGAGCATCACTATGGAGCCTACCTAACAGGGGGCATCCACAGGCTTGGCCTGGACCCAAGGAAGTGCCAGTCCCATGACTTGCCAATGCTGGCTGGAAAGAGGATGGCAGGTAATGGAGAGTCCCTCCCCCCACCAGGGCTGGGCAGAGCTGGGTGTGGCTGGCAGTAGGGCCGACTCACCGAGCACGATGGCGAGCATCTGGGTGGCTTTTCTCTCCTTCTGCTGCGAGAGCTTCCTGCGGCTCAGGGTCTTAAGCGAGGTCCGGGTTTTGCCATTGGGCATGGACTGGATCTCAAAGATCTTGGCAATCTTGGGGTGGTCTTTGGCATGCCCATTCTTCTCGGGTTTGGCGGAGCTGTCAGGAGTGCCATGGAGGCTGTGGTGGGACGCGTCGGGGAGGGTCAGCTGGTGGTGGCTGGGCGGGATGGGGCTGTACCGGGTCTTCTCGGGCGGGCTGGTGCTGGAGAGCATCTCCATCTCCAGCTCCTGGGCTCGGCGCGCAGCCTCCTGCACCAGGCAGAGAGCTCGGGTCAAGCCAGGCAAGTCTCAAGCAGGAGCCACCCAGCGCGCCTGTGCCTGGCCTACCTGGCCCCACCTGGCCCCTCCAAGCTCTTCCCTACCTCCCTCTTCAGATGTCTGCGATCACTCAGAGGCAGGGGCTGTCTGGGTACAGGACCCAGGACCCACAGCAGTCCTTGACGGTGCGGTCATCTGGGCCCCTATCCCAGAGCAATCCTTATGTGTCCTCAGTAACCCCATAACCTTTTGGGGTGAGGTTACTACCCAGGCACTTCTCTTTTATTCACTGAGCAATACTTACTGAACATCCACTCAGTGCTGGGTGCTGAGCTGGCCGCTAGGGACACATTGCTGATGGATGCCTGGGGCCTGCCCGCAGGAGCTCATGCCCAAACTGCAAGAGGGCACTGCTGTGCTCCCTGCAGGCTCACCCGCAACACCGCAGCAGGGCTCACCGGGTTCCATTTCTCTTAGGCCCCCACACCCTCCCTGCTGGGCTGGGCTGGAGGGCCTCCCAGGTTCTCCCTGAGGGTCCCTTGTTCTAGGCCTCAGGTTCTCCACCTAAACTGCTGAAACGCAGCCTCACTGTGTGCCCAGGTGGTATAACTGGGATGCTACCTTGGCCCCATCCTGAGTCTCTGTTTTGGCACCTGCCTCCAAAACGGCTCCTCTGAGTCCTGCTCTTGCTGTGCAGGTAAACGTGGGGGCCTTGCTTCCAGAGGACACTGGCCTGCACTCCCCATGTGGCCTTGGTGGGTTCCCTGGAGCACCCAGGGGAACGAGACACCTGCTGCTTGGACCCTGGTGCTACCACCACTAGGGTTTGCTGTGATTCTGCAACTCTGGGCTCTCCTGAGAGGCCATAATTCACACTAGCCCTACAGCTGCTCGGCTCCCTCCTCCCCCAGCTCCTGCCCAGGCTCCAGCCCCAGAACCTGGGGCAGCTCACACAAGTGCAAAGCCCAGCGGAGGCGTGGGTTTCACAGTCACAGGAGTCTGGGCTCAGCTATGTGCTCTCTCACTAACCACCCAGCTTTTGGGCAGTTACCCAACCTCTCGGAGCCTCCGTTTCCTCTTCCATAAAATGAAGGTGGATGTGATCAATAAGACTTACCTCCCAGGGTTGCTGTGAGGATTTGATGAAACAATAGGGACATGGTAGGTGTTCAATGAATGGGAATAGCCTTTCTTATTGTTTTCATCTTGTTATTAAGGCCAAGTCCTTTCTCCCAAACATTTTCTTGTGTTAGGAGGACCTCTCTGGACCTTGCAGACTTGAGAGCTGCCCTGCTCATGCCTGTAGTGAGGTGTGTGTGGTAAGTTGGGCCTCCTTTCTTGAGGGATCCAAGGAGGTGCTTATCCCCTTGAGCAGTTGGGAAAGGTCTCTGAGAATCACGGCAGGTGGGTCTCCCTGGCTGTGGGTCCCTGGCCTAAGCACTTACCACTCTTCGCCTGCTCACAGGGAAGCTGCCATTAGACTTCATGATAACGGTGCAGAGTTTGATGTCCTCGGGGTGAGTGCAGCTGCCCTGTGGAGTGAGCCAGCACACTGGGTCATCATGGGGAGAAGGGCAGGCACAGAGACCCAGTGCTGGGTAGTCAGGCTGGGCACAGGGGCTCAGAGGAGGACAGGGAACAGGAGGCTAGGGGCCTGAAGAAGCAATCAAGGTCAGGAGGCAAGAGGTGGGCAGGACGAGGGACAAATGAGCACCTCCAAGGGCCTGGCAGCACGCGAGGCAGGCTCACATCTCTCTCATACAGAATCCTCAAGCCATCCTTGGGAGGTCAGTATTATGAGGAAACTGAGGCTCAGAGAAGTTAAGCAAGTTGCCCAAGGTCAATCAGCGAAAGTGGCAGCGCCAGGACTTGAACCTGATGTGTCTAACCCCAAAGCTCTTGTTCCTTCCATGCCCACATAATGTCTTCCTCAGGGAGGGCTGAACAGAGAGAATTCACACCAAAAAAAATGGGGAAAGGTGGTTAAAGTGGGACAGAATAGAGAAGTAGGCAACACAGGGGAGGAAAGAGGAGTTGTGCATAGAAAGGAAGACGGAGATTGTGGGAAGTAAGGAGATGGGATGGAGATATCAGCGGGAGGGAAAGGGAGGCAGAGGGCTCAGAGTGAGAAAAGGAGAAGTGAAGAAAAGAGGAGGAGAGGAGCCCAGGAGGGTGCCAAGGGCTGCCGTGTTCACACAAGGATCTCCAAGCAAAGACTTCTTCCAGGACATCCCTTCCACCCTCCCACCTCCTACTCCTGGAGGTCTAAGTCCCTCCACTGAGGTCCAAGCCTTTGAGGTCCAAGCCTGCTCAGAGCTCCCCATCCTGGACTCCCTCCTGCTGCAGTGTCCCAGGTCCACGCTGAGCACTAGATGACCCACCTCAGTGACGGTTAAGTGGGGACCTTGGAGGGGAGGGGGATCTTGGGACCTTGAGTGGGGCCTTCAGGGTGGCCCTGAAAGCCCGGCTGCTGCGCTTGGTGTTGACCCGCTTCCGGCGCCTCCGGAGGACTATGTAGATCTTGATGTAGACCAGCAGGGTGACGATGAAGGGCACGTAGAAGGAGACGACGGAGGAGTAGACCACGAAGGCGGGGTTGGCGATGATGCACTCGCTCTGTTCTGGAGGAGGGAGAGCCCCAGGAGGGTGGGTCAGCAGGCCCAGGGGTCAGAGCATGGCCCCTCCACCAAAGGGGCAGGGCACAGGTGCAGGGACTAGACTTCCACGGTGGCCTAAAAGGGCCAGATGCAAGCAAATGCGCAGCCTAAATCAGAGCATTAAAAACACAACTGTGAGCAAAAAGCTAAGCTGTGATCGACCCTTTCAAGTTTTTCCATTAATATTCCCTTACTACATCGGCATGAGTTCTGCCACCTATGAGTGCACAAGTGGAGCCAGGATGCTCGGAAAAAAATGCCCCAAAGAAATTTATTTTAAGAGAGTAAGCTATTATTTTAGCCTTTCCTGAATGCTGGGGGGAGGCCTGGGACCTTTCAATTTTAGGGGCAAGGTAACTGGGTTGTTTGCTGAACGCACCTGTGTTCCCACGCTTCCTCCAGGTCTAGTAGACATCTGTCTGCTATCTCAGGGCCTCTCCAGGTTAATCCATGGAGGCCTGTTCCTGCTTCTTGCAATTCCCACAAGAGTAAGATTTGTACCAACGTCTCACGGCTTCATTGTGCACTATTGTCCTGCAGTGCCCTGCACAGGCACCCCTCATTGCTCTGGCCTCCCTGATGGGAGTGAGCTGGAGGCCACACCAGCAGGCAGGCACGGTGCCTCTTCTGCCTGAGATGCTCCGGCTGCCTCGCGAAGGGCAGGCCATGGTGTGCCAGCCTCCCGCTTGTTTCTACCTTTCCTGCCCCGGTGGCCGAGGCCTGGCCTGAGCTCAGCTGGCCCTGGGGCTTCAGCCTCCCTACACAAACACCATTGCCAGGGGTGATGAGGCCCAGGAGCCTCCCACGTGTGCGCACACACAAGCAACAAGAACACACATGCCATTTGTGAGGCTATCAGGCCTGATTACGTCTAATAAACAAAGTTGAAAATGGCCAGGCATCCTCCTGAATTATTATGCCCACCCCTCTCCCAACTCCATGCTGCCCCAGATCATTCATTATTCCTTTCTGGCCCAGCCAGGTACCTCATGGAGTTAGGCTTGGCCCAGGGTGGCAATCGGGCCCCCATGGGTCTCCACCACATCTGTGCTTTGGACTCAGCTCCCACAAGATCCTCACGGAGGCCAGCTGAGCCCTCGGCAGGCAGAGGCAGGGCTCACCTGGGTTGTTGAGTCCAAAGAGCAGCGGACAGGAGATGGTGAAGGACAGGACCCAGACGATGGCAATCATGACGGTGACTCGGCGCTTGGAGCTGTAGCGTGTGTTGTAGAGCATGGGCATGGCCACAGCCGTGTACCTGCAAGGCAACCGGGGGAAGGAGGCCCTCACTCCACAACACGCACAACCAGAGACACCCACTCTTTAGGGGTTGACAACTGGTCCTCCTCCATGAAGCCCACTGATTTGCCTAAAATCAACCCTCCTTCCTGTCCCCAGTTCAGGCAGTGAGGACAATGTTGCTGCCCAATTGACTGCTTGATGACTAACTGGCTACCATTAATCCTGGGCCATCTTTCACCCCAATCCCTCCACTTGGATCTCATGGCCTGGCTCTTTGTGCCTTCGAGACCCCACTTACTCCACCTGTGCTGAGCCCACTGGAGGTGGAAGTATTTGTTGATGGACTGGTAGGCAGAACCCGAATAAGGGTTAAGCCCATTCAACAGAAACAATAACAACAGGAATCATGTATGTACAGGAATTAGCTCATTTTATCTTCCAATAATCCTACAAAGGGAGTTGGGTTGGGGCCTTTGGGAGCCCACGCGGCCTGTGTGTATGAATCAGTGAAAGACTTCATAGTCACAGCTCAGCATGGGCTCCTGGGGCATGTGCCCTGTGCTGGACATAAATGCATAACAGACACGACACCTCCTGGGTAGGTGTTGTCATCCTTGTGTCTGGACAATGAAACTAGGGTTCGAGAATCTCCATAATCTGTCATAGGTCACCTAGTAGAAAGTGATAGAACTGGGGCTGCAGGCAGAATCAACTGCTTTCTCCCATGTACCAGTCCTGATGGTCTTAGCAGCATCACTGTCGGTAAGATGTACTTTCCTAGCCAGACATGCATGCACCTACACATATGTGCTTATGTGTACACATACACATATACACTGACTCACGGGCACAAAGCCAGCTACATGGCATCATAGACAGATCCTGATGCAGGTAAAATGGGGCAGCCTAAAAGGTGGAAGGCCTGGGCTCACCTGTCGATGCTGATGGCACACAAGTTCAGGATGCTTGCTGTGCACATCATGACGTCCAGAGTGACAAAGATGTCACAGTGAATCCTGCTGAATCTCCACTCGCCCACCACCTGCAAACAAAGCAGCATGATGGTGACGGAAGAGGGAGAGTAGCTCGGGCTCGGTAGCTCGGCTCTCCTGGGGGAGGCCAGCCACAGCGCAGACGGCAGCTGGGGGGCCCATGGTCTCTGCCTGGGATCTGGGCAGGAAGAGGGGCAACAAAGGGATCATGTCCATGATGTCCAAAGCCCTTGGCCCTGGCCCCTCTTCTAGACACGGAAAGCCACTTTGTGCCATGAACCAAGCTAGAAGAAAGATGACCAGCCACCACTGAATGCTTCAATTCTTTATCTGCAAAACATTTGTGTGATCATCTGCGACCCTCATTTTACCAACAAGGAGACCAAGCCTCAGGAAAGGGGGGTGACTTGCCCAGGACACTCGGCTCAGCATCTGGTCCTGCTCTGGCCCATGTGTCTGGGGGACCAGGTGGCTCCTTCAGGCCCCACAATGGTGTGCGGTGCAGGGCAGGGGCCCAGTAAGCGCCTACTACGCTGTTTCCCTGAAAATAAGACAGTGTCTTATATTAATTTTTTTCTCCCAAATTGCGCTAGGTCTTATTTTCAGGGGATATCTTATTTTCGAAGAAACACTGTAGTAACAATGGTGAAGACAATGACCTGATGAAACAGGGACGACATTTCTGCTCCTTGTTAGACCTGGAGAATGAAAGAAGGGAAGTCTGGGCTAGGCTGTTAGGAACCCCCGAGTGGGCTGGGGAGGGTCGGTAAGGATATAGCCTTGGAATGATGGAATAAGAGGAGTCCAGCTACTTGCAGGAGCATTTTGTCTCCCTCCCCTGCCCCACCCCACACACTCATACCCCCCTACACTCGAGCACACGTACACACACACACACACACACACACACACACACTCCCATACCCCTGGCACATCCACACCCCACACCTCCGTTTATATACAGGTCCCCGCGCTCACACAGCAGGCTGGCCCTGGCAACTTTGAAGTCTGGAGCAGCCCCCTTCCCCTCCCTGAGCAGAGTCGGGACAGGAGCTGCACCTGGGCCTTGCCAACAGGAGGAAAGAGGAGCAGGGAAGCCCGCTCAGGTGACACGGGCAGGGCAGCGCCCACGTGGTGCTCACAGCACAGTCGGCTAATTATAACCCTGCTCGCTCTCAGCGCTGCCCTCTTCTCTGCTCTCAGGCAGAAAACCAAGTGTTGGCATTGAAGCTCAGGGCCGGGCAGTGCAGCCTCTGTGGTGGAGTACGGAGACAGGAAGCCTCTGGTAGCACTGCCCCCTCTCAGGCTATGGGAGGGTGCATTTCAGGGTCCCTCCCAGGTGGCAGCACAGGGGTCCCTGCACCTCAGATGCAGCGCTGACCAGGCGGGCAGGGGCTGAATGCCCCCTGGCATAAACGAAGCCTACCTTTTGGCATCACTGGGAGAGTTGCAGACCCCCCTGTCCATGTGCACACCCCCAACCTGCAGCCTCTCCTGCACTAGGATTTCAGGGCTATTCTCAGGCCTCTGGGACCTAGTCTGGACCTTCTACACCTTTCCTGCTTCCTTCTTTCCTGTAGACCCTGAGTGTGTGCCAGGCTCTGTCCTGGACTCTGGACTCCAGGGACACTGGGGAACAGGACTGACAAGTCCCTGCCTCCAAGATCTCGGGCTCCCCGCCCCCACTGGTCTCTCTGGAGGAAACCAGAGCAGCTTCCCTCCCAGGTTCAGGAGTAACTGCTGGAGAAGGCAGTCCAGGCAGCTGACTCAGATGCTGAGGGGATGTGTTGGTACCCATTGTCTCTAGAACACCTACTGTGGGCATGTGAATTGTACTTAAAGCCCCTAGGAAAGGGGTAGCTTCCGTCCAGTCACAGCGGAGGGAGCTGGGCCGAGTTCACCACTTGGGGTTGGGGCTGGGAGCAGAGGCAGATCCGTGTGAGCAGAGCCTGTGCTCTCTCCTACGCTGTTTTGGGAGGCCCCGCAGGCTTGTCCACAGAGGAGACAATTACGTGAAAGGTACTCAATAAACCAAGTGTGAAAGGACAGGTTCTGATTGCAAAGGTTCTAGTTGGGGCCCAACAGGAAAACGGACTTGTCCAAAGTCGCCTGGTAACTTAGCTGCAGAGAGAGGACCAGACGCCAAGCTTCTCTCTGCACCATAGACCACCACTCACTGGTTCTTGCTCACAGGGAGCAAAGACCTGCGGGGCAGGCCTTGACCTGGCTGGCTGCATCCTAATGACTTGCACGGGTCAGGCATTCACTGTGTCAGGCGCTGTTCCAAACACACACACTCCCACCTGTGGCCTGTGACAGCAAGCCTCTGAAGCTCATGACATGGCTGCCACATCTCAAAGCCTGGGGTGCAGGCCCCGCAGAGCCTGGGGTGCAGGCCCTGCTCTCTCCCCTGGATGACTCTCTGACAGCATCTCTTCCTCCTGCACCACCTCCTCGTTCCCACACACCAAGTCATAGGCCTCTGCGGCATTCCTGCGTCTCCGGTGTCACATCCACCAGACTGCTCATGCGTGTTGAGTGAGTGGCTAACCAGACCTGTGATCTGAGTCTGCTCCCTTCTCAGTGTTACCTGCCTGCCTGGGCCACGCACAGGGAGCCCCCTCAGAGGCTGAGGCCAGGGGACAGGGCAGACAGCCGCTCCCTTCCCTCGGGAGCCCTCCAGGGGAAAGTGGCCTCATCGGGGATGGAGCCTAGTCCGCCCACTCCAACCCGAGGGGGCTTTCAGTGTGCCGAGCGGAAGACAAGGCACAGACAGTTCCACATCGGACACATGCTGACACGGCAGGCCACTGGAGGCATTTGCCACCGCTGGGAAGGGGGCAAGATGGAAAGTTCCAGACCACAGAGGGTGCAGTACGTGGCTACAAGAATCCTTGGACAGAGGGTTGGGAGAGAGAGAGACTTTACTTGGGACATTCTCAAGGGGAGGACTAAGTAGCTGAGACCATGTCCTGTGAGCAGGGCTCCCTGTGCAGCACTTGTTTTGGGGAAAACTGTGAGATGCCATTCTCCAACCTGCCCCCAGAACACCGCGCTTTCCCTGTAAGCAGTGGCGAACAGGCATGTCTAACCTATCTGTTCAGGGACTCAGAGATGGCTAGGAGCCCATACAGCCCATGTGGAGATTTGAGCCTCCCCTAGGGTGTAGTGGGACGGTGGGTCTGAAGCCCTAGAACGCACACCCATAGCCCCGGGCAGAGCACACCTCACTCTGGGAAGAGGGTGCCTCTTGCCTGGCTCGGGAGGGTCCCCTGTCTGGGGAGGTACTGATATCTATGGTCATTTCGTTTGAATACCGATGGGCACGGCTGACTCATACACACCTTATTACGTGCCGCTTCCATGATAAGCACCTTTTCTATTTTAGTTCATCCGATTCTCAAACAATGCTATGTGGTAGATACTACTGTTATCATCGCTCTGTGGGCAAGAAGACGGACACATGGAGCGGTCATTTTCCCTGGTGGTCTGAGGCCGAGCCTCTCCTGAGCACTAGCAGGAGGGGACAGGCCTGTGAAGTAAGGAGGCTCCTGGGGGAAGGGGAGGACAGGACCCCCGACAGACACCAATGAGCAGAGTCGGGGGCTTCATACACTGGGGTTGCGGTGGAATGAGCCCTGGTCTGGGGCACCTCTCTCTTCCTGTGTTGTTTTCTTTCATGTGTTTCCTTTTGGCTCATCCTTAGCGCTCCCTCGGGCACCCTAGGAAGCTCCAGCCTGGTTAGACTGTGCTGAGGAGTTCCCCACTGCATCCCCTCGGAAGTGATAGTGTTGTAGCCACAGGAAGCACAGCGAGCCCTGGGAGAGGAGTGCGCTTTGGCCGGCCTCCTCCCTCCCTAACCCTCTCAGCTGCTTCCTCTGATGGCCTCTTCTCCCTCAAACCTGCCGAGGGCTCATGTTTTCTGGAAAGAAGGGCTTGCCCCCTGGCCCAGGTAACTCCTCTCTAGCCCAGGGCCGGAAGGAAACAGCTCCACCATGGTAATGGCCAGCACTGGTTCTTTCCTGACCGCCTAGCCAGATGCCTATGTACCCAGACTCCACCCAGAACCCCTGGAGGGAAAGGGGTGGGACCCAGATTGTGCCCACTCACAGCCCCCAGGCCCTTCCATCTGCCCGCCAACTTGGAAAAGCATCCACCGGGAGGTGGATCCCCTTAGGGACTTCTTACAGCGCTTCTCCCTGTGCTGTGTGATCTGGGTGAAGACAGGCACCTTCTCAAAGCTTCTGTTTCCTCTCTCAGTGAGAGAGCAGCATCGGCTCCCAGGGCCAGCATGAGTGTTCACTGTTGAGCCTGGGTCTGAACGTGCCTGACGGTGCCTTGACCACAGCAGGCTGCCCGCTCACTGTGCTGAGGCCCAGAGCTGGGCTCTGTCCTGGCCGAGCAGTGGTGACTGGTGCCCCCTGAGGAAGGGGCTGCAGCCAGTTCCCAGAGGCCTCAAACTTGGGGGAGACGGAAGGAAGGAGAAGAGCAGCAGCCCCTACGTTTGAAGAGGGAAAGAGGAATGGAGCGTTCAGGCCTGGAATCAGAAACATGTCCACCCTTGGGGGCTCTCGTCAGTGACTCCCATTTCCAGAAGGCCCGATGAACGTCCTGGGGGCCAGAGTGCCGGCTGGGCCCGCCAAGAGGCCACCTAACTTCTGTGAAATGGCAATAATACATTGGTCTCCCAGGGCTGCAGTGAGGACACTATTCGAAAATGCTGTGTATGAAGGACCTAACACAAGGTCTGGCACTGAGTAAGGACTGTGTAACTGATAATTGGGATGTTTAGGAAGACATTCTACCCATTTCATGAGAGAAAAACTGAGGCCAGAGTGGAGAGGATACAATCTGAGAAAGCACCAGGCAACTTGTGGGTAGAAAGCAGTGAGGTGTTCTCTGGAGAAGGTGCTGAGTGAGGCAGGGCCCAGACCTACCTCCAGGTAGACAACCCAGGGCATGACGAGCGTGGCCACGAGGAGGTCGGCAACGGCGAGGCTGACGATCAGGTAGTTGGTGGTGGTCTGCAGTGCCTTCTCGCGGGACACGGCCATGCACACCAGCACGTTGCCAAAGACGATGATGAAGATGAGCAGGGTGAGCAGCATGGCATAGTAGTTGTAGGGGGGCTTGTCGGCCTTCCCCGCAGACCCGTTGAAGGGCCGGCTCCAGTTCTGGCTCTCCAGGTCGTCATCGTACCAGGACAGGTTCAGTGGATCCATCGGGGCAGCAGGGCCACCGGGTGGCCAGGCTCTGGCTGGGAGAAACGGACACGGGGAGTGAGCAGGAGGCCCTCCCAAAGCAGGCTGCCTCCCAGGGAGGACTCTGGAGCTAAAACCAATCACTAGAAGTTAATAGAGAATCCTCCAGCCTCAGAATGTTAAGTGTTGTATCCAACAATTTTCTCAAAACATGGCAGCCTGCTGCCACTACTCTGCTGGCAAGTTCTTGCAGACGGTAAAATAATTGAGTCAGTATAATTTTTGAAAAAGTATAATAACATAAATAAGCTTGAGAAGAGCTGACCACTCATTATTCATTTATTCAACAAACACATTAAAGCGCATTCAGTACAGCACACACCTAAGGCAAGTTAGTGAGGAGTCCCAGCTTCTAAAGTTAGGAATAGAAATATGCATTCCTTCATTCTTACTTCTGTAAACATTGATATTTAGGGAGCATTGCTCTACATAGTGCTAGAAACAGGCAGGAACAAAACATACATGGCTTTCCAACTCACAGTCTAAAAGAAACAATGGCCAATGAATCAAGCAATTAAATATGTGAGTGGTCAGCTCTAGGAAATGGAATGGGGGAGAGACACCTAGCCTAGTTTAGAGATTTAGCAAAGGCTTTCCAGAGGAAGTCATGTTCAACAAACTCCTGAAGGTGTGTAGGAATTAGCCAGGTAAAGAGTTGGGAGTCAGGGGAAGGTCTAGACATAGGAGTCAGTGGACAGAGCAAGAGAGCAGGTTTCAGGGTGGAGGCCCAGAAAGAGATTGGGACTAGCTGAAGCATGGAGGGACTTGGAATGAGTTAAAGTGGGGAGGTTGGGTCCTAACGGGTTTGGCTCAGTGGATAGAGTATCAGCCTGCGAACTGAAGGGTTCCAGGTTCGATTCTGGTGAAGGGCATGTACCTTGGTTGAAGGTAAATACCCAGTAAGGAGTGTGCATGAAACAGCTGATGATGTTTCTAACTTTCTCTCCCTCTCCCTTCTTCTCTGTAAAAAATCAATAAAACATATTAAAACAATAAAAATAAATAAAGTGGGGAGTTGTAATAAGTGAGATCATACAGGATCACAGAGAGCCTTGAGGCCATATGGCAGCGGGAACATGATCAGAGAGATGCTGACTGCTGTGTAGAGAATGAGAGGGTGGGCCAAGTAATGTGGCAGGACACCAGCTGGGAGGCTGTTGCAGGAACCCCCACCAAGAAATGATGAGGCCCTAACCGGTTTGGCTCAGTGGCTAGAACGTCGGCCTTTGGATTGAAAAGGTCCCAGATTCGATTCCGGTCAAGGGCATGTACCTCAGTTGCAGGCACATCTCCAGTAGGAGGCAGCTGATCGATGTCTCTCTCTCATCGATGTTTCTAACTCTCTATCCGTCTCTATTCTTCTCTGTAAAAATCAATAAAATATATATTTAAAAATAAAAAAGAAATGATGAGGTCTGCACATGTGCACTTGGAAATGGGTGCCTTGCACCCCAAGGGGGAAGAGGACCTGAAAGAAGCGTCATCTGAGATGAAGTAGGAGGAGGAGTTAGCCAGGCAACTGCGTGGGGGGATATCACAGCCAGAGAGAACACAGTGCCAACTGGCAGATAATTCTGTTGGCTGCAAGTGTAAGGTATGACAGTGACACTGGGGGAAATTACACTGGAGGGCCATTCATGAGCCAGACCTGGCCTTGTCAGCGTGGGAGCTCCTAAAAGGCTGGGTGCAGAGGGCTCCCTGGTACACTAGTGGTCAGGGCTGCTGCATGTGGAGGAGAGCGTGGTGGGGAGTGAGGTGTGGCTATAACACAGGTGAGAGAGGTGCTGGTGCAGGTGAAAGTAGTGGGGATGAGACTGCAGAGACGTGTTCAGCATCAGGAGCTAACCTGGAGGCAGAGTCATGGCATTTGGTCACGGGGTGGATGTGGGTGAGGGCCCTGGGAGCAGGCAGGGAGGGAGCCATTGGGGATAACGCTGGATCTCCCCATGGGGTCTGGGCGCTGGCGGCGCTGTCCCTGAGGAACGGGAGCAGCGGCTCAGAGGCAGTCGGAGGGCTGATGAGCTTGACAGCCTGGGTTTCGGTTGTGACTGAAACATAATGCACACATAATAGAGCTGGCTTTCCTGCTAACAAAAGTGTTCCTATTTCACACAATGGAATTAAATTTACGAGCATTTCAAGGCATCCCACACCAAGCACCATGAGTTCCAGCTGCTGTGGAAATCACCCATGCCATCTGGATGAACACGGTACCGGGTCCAAGTCAGGGCGAAGGCGCAGCAGCCACTGCAGCCAGGGGGACCCCATCTCTAACCTGGGAGGAGGGTCTGCCCGCCTCTACGCCCAGGAGACTTGCCCGGAAGTGAGGAAGCAGGACTGGACAGAGAGGCGGGGCTGCGCTGCAGCCACAGCAACGACCTCAGGTGTCCCCCTCAAGGAGCCTTGGGAAGTTAGGGCCACAGGGTCAGGCCTCTGTCTCCTCTCATCAGTGTGCGCTGCCCAGGGAAAGGGTTTGAGACAGGCATCTCTTCAATCACCAAGAAGGTGGGCCTGGCCGTGCACTGTCCACCGACCACACTCCCAGTGTGGGGAAGGAGGGCCTTAGCTGCACCGGAGGGAGACGGGGTGGGTGTGAGGGGAGATGAGCTAACATGGATGAGCTAACATGAGTGCACACCAGCACCCACGGCCGTCCAGAAATCCGAGAGGATGTGCACATGGGCACGGCTGGGGTGTTCATGAGAAGCTTCCTGGAGCGGGTACACTTAAGCTGGGACTTCAAATTATGGGTACAGCTTAGATGGCAAATATGAGCATCGTCAGTGAGGGGGCTGGGGGCACACTGTCTGCTGCTGAGGCTGCAGGCCAACGGGGAATCCCCTCCCCTGAGGCTGAAAAATGGTTCACTGTGGCATAAATTTTCTAATTTACTATCTCTTCTCAATTGTTCTGGTTCCTTTTTGCTGACACAAATGTAATATACTCACATTATAGAAAGAATAGGGCCCCCGCAGGTTTGGCTCAGTGGATAGGGTGTCGACCTGGGGACTGAAGGGTCCCAGGTTTGATTCCTGTCAAGGGCATGTACATCCCCAGTAGGGGGTGTGCAGGAGACAGCTGATCTATGCTTGTCTCTCATCAATGTTTCTTACTCCCTATCCCTCTTCCTTCCTCTCTGTAAAAAAAATCAATAAAATATATTTTTAAAAATGGTTGTAACATTGTAATGCTGGTTTTACCCTAAAAAAAATAATAATAATAATAATAAAGAAAGAATGGAAAATGCCTACATACTCTGTATTTGGAGGTAGGGACTTTGGGAGGCGGTTAGGCTAGAGGAGGTCATGAGGGTGGGGTCCTCGTGATGAGATGCATGTGCTCATAAGAAGAGACGCAGGAAAGCTTGCTCTCCCTGTCCCTGCCAGGTGAGCACACAGCGAGAGACAGCCATACACGCCGGAAAGAGTCCCCCCAGAAACAGGTCAGAACCTCAGCCGTCCAGCCCCCAGACATGTCTGCTGTTTCAGTCACTCGACCTCTGGTATTTCCTGATGGCAGCCTGAGCTGTCAAAGACGCCTGCAGACACCCGGCTCCCTCTAGCAGGGGCTGCCTCTCCCCCAAGGTCCCATCCTCATCTTCCCTAGGCAGCAAGGTGGGCCCCTGCTGCTCCCACTTCCCCCTCCCCAGGCCATGCTCACAATGGGCTCCAGGCTCTGCTTTCTCCGCTGCTCTGGTGTGTGAGACACAAGTGGGAGCCAGGAATATGAAAAATCTCCATTTGTGGGTGGCCTGCAAGCCTCAGGCCATCGAAGTACCTGGCCCTCACCTGCCTCCAATATTCATCGCCCTGCCCCAGCTCAGAAGGGCAAGTGTCTATTGAAAAATCTTCCAGAATCACCCACTCCAGTGGTCAGAACCCTCCATCAAGTCCTCCCTCACACCTGGCCACCTCCAGCCTGCTATGGTTGCTGTGTCCTTAGAGTCCACACAGCAGCTTTGCAGCAAGGTGTCTGCAATGAACAGAGGAATACGGGGATACTAGGGCATGTGGACTGTGGAGCTACTACGTTTCCAGGCTCCTCTGCCATTTTCCTGTAGTGCCTTCCCAATGGCCCAATTTTCTGTGTGTGCCCAACTTGAAAATTTGCTAGCTCTGGGGCTGGGGCGGAGTAGGGAAATAGATGTTGCAGCGAGGAGGCGGGCCGCTCTCCCTGTCACACCCAGCCTGCAAATAGAACAGCTTCTCCAGAGTATGCTGAACGAAAACTCCTTTCAAGCTCCTCAGTTCGAGGCTGACCACTAGGGCTGGCATTTTCTCTCAAAAAAACTTGGAGGCTAGTGTCACCCTTGGGCCCCAGCCTGGTGGGATGGGAACAAAAGGGCCCATCACTTAGGGCAGATTAGTGCCCTAGAGGAAAACTGGCTGGTCCCAGAGGAGAGAGAAGATGGTTTCATTAATCTGGCTGCAATTTGATTCCATCCTCCAGCAAGACTCTGGGGTGCATGGCCCGGAGATGGGGCTGAGGCACCCTCAGCACAGCATAAACTCAAGCAACTTGGTTCCTATGTGCTGCCTCCTCTGGAAGTTTGGCATTTGAAGGAATCAAATTGTCTAATTAAAACTGAACAGTCCCTTATCAGGCTGGATGGCGGGTGAGACACTGCTGTCTTAAACACATCATTTTCCCTTCTTTTCTGAGACTTGAAGCATTTGAGTGAAAAAAGAAGGGATGGTAACATTTGCATTTCAAAAGCCATTTGTTGGAGAGACCTCATTTGGATGGGAATTGGGACAAAGTGGGTAAGGGCTCCTGCTAGGACCTCCTAATTCAAGCCATGCCTGCTTCTCCATTCAAAGATCCAGGCTGTGACTTGGGGATGGGCCCAACCTCCCTCAGCTCCCCCTGCAGCTTTAGGAAGAAAGAGTGGGAGGGGGAAAGGGAGAGGAGGAAGCATCATGTTCCTTCCTACTCCAATGGGGGAAAGAGAAGAGTCAGTG